ACCGCTAAAATAATAGTAGTAGATGTCGAAAACAGTGGCTGGCTGAATCCACACGAGCACGGATGGGAGGTGGAGCTCACGCGCCGCCACCGCAGCCCAAGGGAGAAGTATTGTGTATATTAGGCAAGTGTAGGGGCGGCCCTCCTTTGCACCAGACACAATAAGGTCGGTGATGGTTTGTGCACCGCAACGCCCAAGCTCCGACATGTAGTGGTCGATATCATCGCCATCTTTGAGTACGAAGAGTCCTCTGATTTTTGGAAATGATCGCCGCGGAATGACTTGTCGGATGGATCCTTGCCGTCCAAGAAAGCAGATGGAACCAATGGCCCGATTCCAATCAGATTGTACTTGTCAATTGCTTTCAAGGCCTCTGGCTCCAGCGCATCGAACGTGTTCACCAGAATGATGGGCTTGGTTTCTCTCTCGAGCAGCTCAAATTGCTCTTCAAACAAGGGAAGCGCGAAACCGTACGGATTTGAATCCACCATGAAAGAGGGAAGGTCACGGCTGGCGAGGGATAGTGGCAGTCCTGGTAATTCTATTGAACATAAAGCGCCATTAGTATGAGTAGTACTAGTACTGCTCCGAATGAGGTCTTTGCGACCGCTAAAATAATAGTAGTAGATGTCGAAAACAGTGGCTGGCTGAATCCACACGAGCACGGATGGGAGGTGGAGCTCACGCGCAGCCACCGCGGCCCAAGGGAGAAGTATTGTGTATATTAGGCAAGTGTAGGGGCGGCCCTCCTTTGCACTAGACACAATAAGGTCGGTGATGGCTTGTGCACCGCGACGCTTAAGCTCCGACATGTAGTGGTCGTCGTCATCGCCTACTGTGAATCCATTGTCGTAACCATCAGAGAAGAGCGAATAGGTCAAGCCATGAGGAGTTGAGCCGTTCCCTATGCGGCGATGGGCAGAGAGGCTCGTGACATACGTGACATGTGCCCCAGTAGTGCGGACGAGATGCTTTGCGAACTGGAGGGAAGGGTTGATATGGCCTTGGGCCGGAAATGTGACGAGGAGGAACCGGTGTTGCACCATGGCGGTCGTTGCGGTAGTGGAGGCGCGCGGCAGAGAGTGGAGTTGTTGGGACAATATTGGGGGTTTTTTATTTTTTTTCTTTCGGCTGAAGACAGTATTGGGCGTTTGTGTGTGGGCTTAGATGAATGAAGTGAAATTGTTTGGGTATGAAGATAATATACATGTGAGAGGGAGACAATGTGGATTGGGGAGAGAAAAGTGACGTCTGTGGTGACGAATTGTAAACGCTGATGACAAGAGAGATGACGTGGTTATTTGTGTGATTTGCAATCTGTGGGCCTTGTCTGCATGCATGTCTTATGTGTGTGGATTGGTCAGAGAGATTAATATACACATGCAAAGTAGCATATGATTTGTGTACTATATTATTAAATGTGGATTGGATTGAATTGTATTATATTAAATTATTTTGTAACACTTGTTCGTCAAAGTTCGTCAAAGTTCAAATGTGGATTGGACTAGTAGGTCTGACAGCCGTATTCCACTAGAAATATGTGTTTTTTTTCCGCAAGTAAAAGAATTAGTCTACCCATATGCCTACCTTTACTTCTATTCCACGAGAAAAAAAAAATAGAATAAAAGAAAACCTATCCCAAATTTCGCATTTGGATTCGCATTAAAATTCGTATTTCAATACTAAAAACTGAGAATTAGATTGATTAAGAGGAGTAATTGATCCTATTTCATATCATTTCTCTTTATTTCTAATTTCTAACTTTCTTGATTGATGATTTCTCTCATTATTGTAGTAATTTTATTTATTTGGAGTCATCACATGTATTCTTGTGTATGTTCGTGCATGTGTCATTTTTAGTTTCTCATCAAGTTCAATAGAACACGACATGGACTAGTAGGTGTGATGTGGTCAAAGGGACAAGTAATAAACTCACAATAACAATAAAAATACACATTCAATGTATGGTTGCCTAGTTAGATCCCGTTCATCAGTATGCCAAATTGAATTGGACCTGTATTTTACTAAATCGCTTTATGTAGTGTTGTGTACAAACTGAAATAGCCAGATAATACCTAGTGGGATGCTAAAATAAAGGCCAAATAGTATGATCCAAGATGTCATAATAATGGCCTCGTTAAAACATCACCATAAAACTTCCGATTAAAAAAAAAGATTGGTCAAAGAAAAAGGTTCCAGCACATCCATAACAAATAGAAAATAAAACTGCCCCCTTCAAATCATATTTCAGCAAACACTATTTAATTTATAATTAATATATTTTAAAGATAAATTATTCGCTTCGTTAGTCTTTGTTGAAAATATAAATTTGTAGTAAATTGATAAAAAGTTTATAATCAGACTAAAATCTTCCTAATCAAGAAAGTAAAGGAAAACAAAAACCCTAAACCCTAGACGTCATATTTCTTTACAAGAAAGTAAAGGAAAACAAAAACGTTTGTATCAAGAACAGTAATTATAGCTTATCACATTAGAAATAAGAGATTCTTGATTTTCAATAAATTTTCCTCGTGTTTTTAAAGCTTTGTTCAAGAAAAAGAAAAAGAAAAGTGAGAGAGAGAGAGAGAGAGAGGAGAGCCAGCCAGGTGACCTGATGTGATTAATTGCAAGTGGACAATATCGCTCAAATTAATATAGTAGTAAGTAGAGTATCGTTCCAACAGGGATCAAGTAATCTATTAAATAGTAGAGTGATTTATATCTAATTATATTTGAATTAAACGAAAAGAGAATTATGATGATTAAAATCTAATTAAGCAAGCAAAATAAATTGAGATTAAGGAAATAATGTAAAAGATGAAAACAAAGATGATAAAGCACTAGGGCACCGATTTCACCTAGCTAATCCCACCCAAATCCTTCTAGCTTGCTAATTCTAATTACCTAACATGTTGATAATCGTTTTCCCTTACCTCACTAATACTCTCTTCCGAGTTATATTAGTTGTATTCCTTACAGTCAACCCACTCTATTCCTAGTTATGGATTTAGATAGCTAAGAACCCATTAAGATTTGTGGAAAACAATGAAGATTACACAAACCATAACCTAATCTTCCGAGTCGGCTATGTAATTTATGGTACTTGTTACAAGAAGCTTTTTATTAGGAATCTCTTTCCGGTTTCAACCTAATTCTTCCAATA